TATGTGTGTCCTCAACACCAGTTTTCTTCAGCTTTTTGTTGTACTTCTTTATTTTAGGATAAATGTCTATATGTAATGTGTGAAACAGTCGCCTACTCTGCATGCTGTGTCAGTTTCTATTATTTAAATATCATGCAGCTACAGAAGGATGGTGAACATTGGTTACAGATGCAGAACAGTGACAATGTTGTCAGGCGTCGACGTGAGCGATCACGAGTACAGGGAGGATGGGCTTCACTTCCCACCCCTACCCCCCACGCCCACCCCTGCCCCACCCACTCCATCTCAGCAAGACACACACAGCATCCCACACCACCTCAGTCTAGAGATGGAGAGATACAACAAACCAAACCTACTGCTCCAAGTCAAGGACAGTGGGCAAACTCACATCCAATAAACACAGAGGGACAAGGCTTGTGTTCCCTGCAGCCCCACCCAGGAGGATATGGGAAACCAAGAACACAGTCAGACTGGAGCCCCAGGGATATGGAAGGTCCTTCCAAGGCCACTGTGTTGGTTCCAAGCCAGTCCCCAAGGAGCCCTGCTAATCCACTGCCAACTACACCACACTGGCAACATACACAGGTAATTATAGTGGGACTGGCCTTGAGGACAGTCTGCCCTCCACAACTCTCTGGCAACATACACAGGTAATTATAGTGGCAACATACACAAGTAATAATAGTGACAACATACAGAAGTAATTATAGTGGCAACACACAGGTAATTACAGTGGCAAGATACATGGGTAATTATAGTGGCAACATACACAGGTAATTATAGTGGCAACATACACAGGTAATAATAGTGACAACATACACAAGTAATTGTAGTGGCAACACACAGGTAATTATAGCGACAACATACACAAGTAATTATAGTGGCAACATACACAGGTAATTATAGTGGCAACATACACAGGTAATAATAGTGGCAGCATACACAGGTAATTATAGTGACAACATACACAAGTAATTATAGCAGCAACATACACAAGTAATTATAGTGGCAACATATACAGGTAATTATAGTGGCAACATACACAGGTAATTATAGTGGCAACATACACAAGTAATAATAGTGACAACATACACTAGTAATTATAGTGGCAACATACACAAGTAATTATAGTGGCAACATACACAGGTAATTATAGTGGCAACATACACAAGTAATTATAGTGACAACATACACAGGTAATTATAGTGGCAACATGCACAGGCAATTATAGTGGCAACATACTCAGGTAATTATAGTGGCAACATACACAGGTAATTATAGTGCCAACATACAAAGGTAATTGTAGTGGCAACACACACAGGTAATTATAGTGGCAACATACACAGGTAATTACAGTGGCAACATACACAGGTAATTATAGTGGCAACATACACGGGTAATTATAGTGGCAACATACACGGGTAATTATAGTGGCAACATACACAGGTAATTGTAGTGGCAACACACAGGTAATTATAGTGGCAACATACACAAGTAATTATAGTGGCAACATACACAGGTAATTATAGCAGCAACATACATGGGTAATTATAGTGGCAACATACACAAGTAATTAAAGTGGCAACATACACAGGTAATAGTTATCTTGTTACAGATTGTGACAGTAAACATGGATCCACTAACTCAAACAAATTCTAAATTCATCCAGGGATACACAATAATGTCAATCGTTTCTACGGAGACATTTCACAGCTGTATCAAAGCCTGATGAAAGTAGCTCTCGTTTTATACACAACCTCTGGAGCATGACGAGCCAGAACCACCCTGCTTGCTTTGAAGGAGAACGTGATACAAATACTCCGGGGGATACGCTCTATAATGGCACTCTAGGAGAGTGGTGCTGGGAGCTTCAGTTGGTTGATTGAAAGCTAACAAGGTGAGACTGCATAATTAGGTGAATTGTGTTCATTGTCATACATGTCAAGTATGTCAGTCCGCCATCAACAACAGCAAGTAGGTGTCACTCCATCCCAGCTACAGCAACACCACAGTGGGTAGGTCAATTGTGGGATGTTTTCTTTATCTTATGCATCATCATATAAGCAGCTACAGGTTTAAACCTGATATTTCTAATATTCAGGCCAATTGAGGTCAGTAAATAACGTGTTGTACTGTGCAGATCAATATATGTTCAGGATGGAACAGGCTACTATATATAAGGTAAGTGATGTGCAGATCAATGTCCAATGCAGTAGGATGATAATGTCTATTGTACATAAGGCGCATCTCTTGTCCAAGATGAAATGGGATACTTTACATAGAATGTATGATATATCCCCAAAAGATGGTTCACTGTGTGTTGGGTGTATTTTATGTCCAGGATGAGAGAGTCTACTTTATGTAGGGTGTATCTTATGTCCAGGATGGGAAAGTCTACTTAATGTTGGGTGTATTTTATGTCCAGGGTGGGAGAGTCTACTTAATGTTGGGTGTATCTTATGTCCAGGATGGTAGAGTCTACTGTATGTAGGGTGTATCTTATGTCCAGGATGGAGAGTCTACTTTATGTAGGGTGTATCTTATGTACAGGATGGGAGAGTCTACTTTATGTAGGGTGTATCTTATGTCCAGGATGGAGAGTCTACTTTATGTAGGGTGTATCTTATGTCCAGGATGGAGAGTCTACTTTATGTAAGGTGTATCTTATGTACAGGATGGGAGAGTCTACTTTTTGTAGGGTGTATCTTATGTCCAGGATGGAGAGTCTACTTTATGTAGGGTGTATCTTATGTACAGGATGGGAGAGTCTACTTTTTGTAGGGTGTATCTTATGTCCAGGATGGGAGAGTCTACTGTATGGAGGATGTATCTTATGTCCAGATAGAGAGTCTACTTTATGTACAGGATGGTGCAAGAAATGTTAAGAATTGCCTAAGATAAGAAACTTTTCATTGTGTAATTGGTTTGTTTCTCAACATAATGTAGCCAACAGATGCAAAAGGTATCTGTTGATGTCATTCAGAGATTGCAAATATGAAAGGTCAGGGACCGTGGTAGGTGCTTCTTTAAGTGTTTATAAAGCAGGCATGACCCTTGGCTGTTGGCTGTGGATTCTGAATTGTCAGTCAGGGATTTTGACAGATAGCTTGTACAATTGTTATCATTATCAACGTAAAACTCTAACATGCCACAAATCTCACAGGGGTGTGGATAAGTGAAGAATTTAGTGGGGATGCTATCAGAATCAGTTTTTCTGTATGTACTTGTAGAGCATAGCAACTTTGGGTGTTTTCCCAGTATCATGTGTGGACCAGACCATTCAACATCAATCCAGACATAACTATCAATCTATGCAACTGACATGTGTGAACCACGTCAGCGAGCCTGACCACCCGATCCTCTTACAACAAGCCTGGGTTGCTGAACACCTGGACCTGGTATAAATGTTGCAAAAATTTTACCTCCTTCCATTTGGTCACTGTGTGAAATGTGTGATGGCATTTTGCATTGTTATAACAATGTAATGTTCCACCCTAGTTCTGTGGGTGGAACAACAGACTGCTGCAAAACAAAGACAAGAAAGACTGACAAACACAAACAAATTTGTTTTATGCATTAAATATAAACACTCAGTTGGAATTATATTGCCTATTGCCAATGTCCAACAGACTAATAACTCACCTTTTGATGTGGTATATTATTTTGCACATTACAAGAAAGCTTGTAATGTTTATTCCACATGATAACCTCTGTATATTTCAATGTATAACTATATAGTATCATTACTTTCAAACCTGTCAGTTGAGGTACAAGGTATACAAATACTGTATCTTACAGTGTATTACTATTCATGTTGTTACAGAGAGGTATGGTATCCCGAGTTCCAAGGAACTTCTCATGGGTGGAGGAAGGTCTGCTGTGTGGCCTGGCGTTCCCTGACCACCCCCAGCAGGTACAATACCTGCTGGAACACAACGTCCACCACCTGGTCAACCTGACCCAGGACAGGGTCACACCCACACACGGCTTCCCAGGTCAGTCTGCCAGAGGCAGTCCACAGCATAGCATCATGCAGTGAATTTGAATAGGATCTGATCATACAGGGCAGAATTATTTACTATACCCCACTATACAGTAATATTGGCAATAGACTGTGGAAGTTTTTAGATCAGTGCAGTGAACTGGCATTATAACGAATTCAAAGGGACCATCAGTTGTTCATTATAACCACAAAAATGTTATACTCATTTCATCTAAAATATACAGTAAAAGCCTGTGACCTAGAAATCAGTTTGTTTTATTCATCAGGTCATAATTTGCAAGTTCATTATATATGTAGTTTACTATGTTGCATATTTGTATTAGCTAGGCGTCATGGTGATTGAGATGGAGGCTAAGAGACAGAGCAGATTATGATGGTGATTGACAGAAAATATTGAAATCTTTCGTGTAGAATGCCAGCTATGATCGTTTATAATAAGGTGGCACAGTTTACCATTAGAGGTAGGAAGGTCATGATTTACATGAAAGACTTTAAAAGGCCAGTCCTAAAGTGATCTGCAGAGCAGGTTCACAACATAGGTGTGCTGCGATTAGTTCATCCAACAGTTGCTCCTAATGTGTGTTGGGGTGGGGGGTGGGTGGGTGGTGTGTGTGTGTGTGTATGTGTGTGTGTGGGTGTATGCATGTATTAATGTGTGTGTGTATGTGTGTGTGTGTGTGTGTGTGGATGGATGGATGGGTGTTTGGATGTATGTGTAGATGGATGGGTGTGTGGATGTATGGGTGTATGGATGTCAAATAACATAACAGTGTGTGGCTAGTCTACGTCAACCTTACATCATATTGCTAAATTACATAAGATTGTAATAGTGTATGACTAGTCAGCATCTGGCTGATATACATTGTGTAAATACCAAGCACTGCGATTTTTCATGTTGAGAAAATAATCTGCATACAATACTGACCAATTGCAGTATGTTGGAACCAATCAAGATATGTGATACTTACTTGCAGATCTAAGAGTTGTGAGGATCGGCATCCGTGACTTCACTGCTCCAACTCTGGACCAGATCAAGCAGTTCCTTGAAGGTGGTACACCAGGCCAAGAAGAAGCAGGAGGTGAGCTGACACACTTCCTAGGCCACCACCCTTTACCAAACTCCTTCATCAAAATCCACCAACCCCCTGACCATCCACCAAACTCAATATAGTTCCCACCCTCAATTAAAGCCACACCCTCTACCACCCCAAAAAGAAGCAGGAGGTGAGTTAACGCAACTCCTCACCCTCTGGCTATACAAAACTAACTCCTCCCACTGGTAACACAAAACTAGCCCCTCCCACTGGTAACACAAAACTAACTCCTCCCACTGGTTACACAAAACTAACTCCTCCCACTGGTTACACAAAACTAACTCCTCCCACTGGTTACACAAAACTAACTCCTCCCACTGGTTACACAAAACTAGCTCCTCCCACTGGTTACACAAAACTATCTCCTCCCACTGGTTACACAAAACTAACTCCTCCCACTGGTTACACAAAACTAACTCCTCCCACTGGTTAACACAAAACTAGCTCCCTCCCACTGTAACACAAAACTAACTCCTCCCACTGGTTACACAAAACTAACTCCTCCCACTGGTTACACAAAACTAACTCCTCCCACTGGTTACACAAAACTAACTCCTCCCACTGGTAACACAAAACTAACTCCTCCCACTGGTTACACAAAACTAACTCCTCCCACTGGTTACACAAAACTAACTCCTCCCACTGGTAACACAAAACTAACTCCTCCCACTGGTTAACAAAACTAGCTCCTCCCACTGGTAACACAAAACTAACTCCTCCCACTGGTTACACAAAACTAACTCCTCCCACTGGTTACACAAAACTAACTCCTCCCACTGGTTACACAAAACTAACTCCTCCCACTGGTTACACAAAACTAGCTCCTCCCACTGGTAACACAAAACTATCTCCTCCCACTGGTAACACAAAACTAACTCCTCCCACTGGTTACACAAAACTAACTCCTCCCACTGGTAACACAAAACTAACTCCTCCCACTGGTTACACAAAACTAACTCCTCCCACTGGTTACACAAAACTAACTCCTCCCACTGGTTACACAAAACTAACTCCTCCCACTGGTTACACAAAACTAACTCCTCCCACTGGTAACACAAAACTAGCTCCTCCCACTGGAAACACAAAACTAACTCCTCCCACTGGTTACACAGAACAGTAACAGTGTTGCCTTCTCACTGTAAAGACAGTAACATTGTTGCCTTCTCTGTGTAAAGACAGTAAAGGTGTTGCCTTCTTTATGTAAAGACAGTAACAGTGTTGCCTTCAGTAACAGTGTTGCCTTCTCTGTGTAAAGACAGTAACAGTGTTGCCTTCTCTATGTAAAGACAGTAACAGTGTTGCCTTCTCTGTGTAAAGACAGTAACAGTGTTGCCTTCTCTGTGTAAAGACAGTAACAGTGTTGCCTTCTCTGTGTAAAGACAGTAACAGTGTTGCCTTCTCTGTGTAAAGACAGTAACAGTGTTGCCTTCTCTGTGTAAAGACAGTAACAGTGTTGCCTTCTCTGTGTAAAGACAGTAACAGTGTTGCCTTCTCTGTGTAAAGACAGTAACAGTGTTGCCTTCTCTGTGTAAAGACAGTAACAGTGTTGCCTTCTCTGTGTAAAGACAGTAACAGTGTTGCCTCTCTAAAGACAGTAAACAGTGTGCCTTCTGAGTAAAGACAGTAACAGTGTTGCCTTCTCTGTGTAAAGACAGTAACAGTGTTGCCTTCTCTGTGTAAAGACAGTAACAGTGTTGCCTTCTTTGTGTAAAGACAGTAACAGTGTTGCCTTCTCTGTGTAAAGACAGTAACAGTGTTGCCTTCTCTGTGTAAAGACAGTAACAGTGTTGCCTTCTTGTAGTGTTGTTCTAAAGACAGTAACAGTGTTGCCTTCTCTGTGTAAAGACAGAAAGACAGAGTGTTGCCTTCTCTGTGTAAAGACAGTAACAGTGTTGCCTTCTCTGTGTAAAGACAGTAACAGTGTTGCCTTCTCTGTGTTCTCTGAAAGACAGTAACAGTGTTGCCTTCTCTGTGTAAAGACAGTAACAGTGTTGCCTTCTCTGTGTAAAGACAGTAACAGTGTTGCCTTCTCTGTGTAAAGACAGTAACAGTGTTGCCTTCTCTGTGTAAAGACAGTAACAGTGTTGCCTTCTCTGTGTAAAGACAGTAACAGTGTTGCCTTCTCTGTGTAAAGACAGTAACAGTGTTGCCTTCTCTGTGTAAATACAGTAGGAGTGTTGCCTTCTCTGTGTAAAGACCGTAACAGTGTTGCCTTCTCTGTGTAAAGACAGTAACAGTGTTGCCTTCTCTGTGTAGGCGGTGGCTGTCCATTGTAACATGGGCAAGGGGCGTACAGGGACTCTGTTAGCCTGCTTCCTAGTGGCCCGACACAACCTCCCAGCACACATGCCTTGAGACAACTTAGAACTGTCCGCCCTGGATCTGTACAGACCCCTCAACAGCGACAATGTGTTCAAGCATTTGAAGACTATTTCAAGACTGGCATGTGTGATAATCTCAGAGACTGGACTTGAGGACATATTTAAAAACTCATAGAAAATGTCTGATGTGCTTATTCCACCCTGCTTTTGAAAATATTCAAACGTGAGATGTCAAATAAACTCTCAAGAGTGAGGGAGAGGAGTCAGTCACATGTAACATACCTCAAACCTCAAAAGTCAATCTTACAATTAAAACTGTTGAACGGCTGCTGAGTTATGCTTTATGTTTTCATATGTAAAATAAAGTAGTTCAATCTCCTTCTTGTCATGATTCAATAAAGTGGGACTGTAGGATGTAGGAACTGTATGTAGCTCAGCTCTTCCCATAGTTCTTACCAGCAGTAGTGTGTGCCACAGACCAGCGACATGTGATGATCCAACATATATAAACAGTCTATTCAACAAATTACACACATGGAACTTAAATGGGCACTGATCTGGAGCAATTTCTGTGGACTGGTTGTTGCTTTTGTTATTGTTTTTATCCTGTGAGTACCCGGATGATATCCCAGAATTATTGACTGGTTCATGACCTCTGCTGCGCCACCCCAAACCGCAACTGAAAGTATAAGTATAGAATGATCAACAAAGATGAAATCTTTTTTACTCAATAATATATCCATCTTCATTATTAAGATAACAAATGAAAACATTTTGAAGTTTACATCTGCCCGTGGTAAAACATATTAGGACTCAAAAATAATGAAGTCAATGTACGTCTTTATATGTTGTCTTATAATCCTAAGTAGGTTGTTATCATATTTGTATGCATTTTGAAACTTAATAAAAACCACACGATCTGCTATACTTTATACTGAATTTATAACATGACTGTAATATCTACACATTTTATAGATTGCCAACGTGAATCAAATTTTACACACCTAGTGTATGTTGTCTGTCTCATTACACTTCACGGCTAAAAATTCTGTTGATGGCTACAACAAATAAAGAAAAACAAAATGCGAATATTAAAATTAAAACAGACTAAAGTTATAGCAACAATGTCAGGCTATTACCTTTTTTGAGGAATGTATCCATCAATATCCACATAAAGGCATGATATGTCATTCAACTGCAGCTGACAAAGTATCCTGTTCCACGTAATGTGTCTTTTAACAGTCTGATATTTGAAAAAAGTGATCTATCGTTTCAGGTTTTTCACATTGGTGTATAGTCTCATTGGTCACCCAACATAGCACATCTGGCAACTAATTGTGTGATGTCCGCCATTCTTTAAAAAGTAATTTAGTTAGCCAATGATGAATTGTCAATCAACTGATTGTTAATCCTCTGAAGGAAGGACGTGTTTACACAGGCACTTTACGACAGGGTGTATTCAGTATAGATTAGTAAATCTACCTACTAATCCGCTGTGCAAGATAAAAGTAATCAATAAATCAGCATGTTATCGGTTAATCCTTTGATCGATGCATATGTTTGTTTTTGTAACTCAGCTGATAATTCCTCTTGCTGCACTTCCATGCGCATATTACATAACATGTTATACATTTGCCACATCAGACCTTAATTTATAATGTTGAGTATTTACTCCACACTTGAGAAATGCCAAATGGGAACCTTTGTCGGGTAGTCTGAGTGTTACCACTAATTATACCTGTTATAAATTCATTAACTGACCATCAAGTGAATGATAACAAATAACATGTGTAGGTTTATACCACCAAACACGGGTTACAACAAGGGAGTAGTAATTGCTATTGCATGCAATTTGAACTGCCTGAAAAAACCTATGGGCCAACACTATTTGGAGGATACAAACGGAACTTCATTGTTGCTTAAGACATACATATAAGCATTTGCTGTGTACTTAAGTTAAATCTGTACATACCTATTTACCTAGGTAAATTATCAGATTTTTCTAGCAATGGCAAAGTAGGGTTGTTTAGTTTACGGATTCAAATAAATCAAATGTGTGTTTTTAATATCATAGGTAATAGACATCATATTTTTACATGACATGATTAAGTATTGAGGTAAAAACACAGAAATAGGATCAAACTGGATCAGTCATTATGCTATCCAGGCATTAGAAAATCTGAAAAAGCTGACACTGCTGGGATACTTTTATTACAATCAGACAAAAACTACCGGGGATTTTTTCAAATAACAGCATCTGATGGGCATCCACCCTTCCTAATGTCCCACTATTTAGGTTGAAGAAATTCTGCCAAGGTGGACAGTAGCCCAGTCCCCATGTCTGTCACGGTCAGGGATGCAGGTACTGACAAGCTTGCAGCAAGGTTTCGTAATTAGCCTGTTGGCGAGAAACATTAATTGCTCTGGATCAGTGCCCTTTAAATTAAGCACCCCCCAATGTTTTCATATTGCCAAGAAACTGAGCAACCATTACCATTAGTATGTTTACTGGAAAGCTTAAATGCCATTGTTTTATGAATGTTGACATTTTGGAGTAACCAATAACAACAACATCATGAACATTTGCAATATTTTAATTTACAAAATGACATGAAAACATCAACGATGTTTTGTCCACAAAATGTATCCCTGTACAACTATGGGGGCTGCAGAGTTCCACAATGGGATAGGTGAGTGTCCCTCAGTCTGAAAATGTTCACTGTCATCTTCAGACAACAAATCACTTGAAAAATGTTAATAGCGTGCATATCCACATTGTGCACAGATGACTGCTTTGGCCCTCCTCCTCATGCTGATTCGCTCCAGATGCAGCTGCTGCCACTCCTCTGGCACAAAGCTGCTTCCAAACAAGCCAGATCTTATACAGGTGGATCCAGTGCTTGCACTCTGCGTCTAAAAAAGCCGCAGACTTGCTCCAAAGGGTTAAGATCCAGGCTCATAGCAGGCAATGGAAGTTTGGTTATGGAGAAAAACTTGTCACAAGTCGGGAACGATCTGGTTGGGCGTTGCCATCCATAAATACAGGGCGAGTGGCTAATGGGTGGTTATCAAAATGTGGCACAAGAACAGGATCCAGAATGTCCCGGATGTCGTGGTCGCCATTGAGATTTCCATGACCAGTTACCAAGTCCAGTTTACAATCATGGGAGAACAACCCCAGACCATGACAGATCCACCACCATCAGGAACTGATGCTCTGATGTTCTTGGGCTCATAGGCACTGTTCTTGGCGCCCGTCTGTGACGTGCAATAAAAAGTGATTCTCATCCGACAAATGCACCTTCCTCCATGATGTCAAATTCCTATGACGTCAGGGTAAACACCACTCCAAATGAGCTCTCTTGTGAAGATTGGTCAAGGCTGGACGCTTCATCACCCTTCTTGCCCTCATCCCATGTGCCTTTAGTAGTGAAAGGCTGATGTCTCACAAGACTTGCTAAATCCCAATCCTTAACTTGAGATGTCTTTCAGGGTTGACCTGGCCTTGGTCAGTCCTTAACCTTGTTGGTTTGACAGTGTTTTTGAACAAGTCGACGTCATAACGGTGTGGTGAATGTCAAGCTGTCACTCAATAGCCCTGCATGACATCCTGGTGTCGTGCATTCCAATAATTTGCCATCTTCTTGCTTCTGGTAGTCTCCTTCGTGCCATTGTAACAGATACTGGATACAAATCATTAAGTTAATTGGCGTTTTATACAGTTAGGGTATTGAGTTAGCATATTGGGATGTATTTTGATGATTGATTTAGCAAAACCCTCAAACAATATTGAAATATACAGTTCAAATAATAGTCATCGTTACAATTCAAGATTTATCATTAGGTAAGTTAGTAACTTACAATATATGTTAGGTTCATTAAGTTCCATCTGTATACATTTGTTTTTCAACTTTTTCATTCTTGAAATGTCACATACGTAGTTAAACATGTGCCTCACACAGGCACCAAATCATCAGCACACAGAGCAATCTAACTCCACTTAGCCAACACGGCTTCCACAAAAATGGAAGTCAGACAACTGGTAGATCCAGAAAATGTTCTCTGTTATAGTTCACCCAAAGGGGGAACGTCAGACACAGTGTCAGGACTGCACAGTATTACCGGTATATTGCAATACGCCTTTCAAATGATATGCAGTGCAATGTTTTTTCTCATAAGTGGTATAATTTGGGTAATAAAAATATATAAAGTTATCTCTATGTTTTCAGTTAAAATCTACACAGACTTTCATTCACACTAAAGTTTTCCATTGTAACTGAATGACAAAATAGCATACTTTACACACACTAAATGTTTTAAAAAGAAAATACAATCCCTCAAAATCAAATCCGAATGCAAGTTTTCTGTTATCACAGCCATAACATGTATTTTTTTAAGGCTTCAGTATGTAGAAAATAGGGTTTGCATGTACAATCAATGTCACTCACTGTCAAACGCTTAAGTTCCCAATATATCACAGTACATATTCGGGAATACGGGTACCAGAATCACAATATATTGCCATACAATTTATTTGCCAATACACAGCGATACACATTGTTGTGTTCAGAAGGTTGAATATGTACTCGTCACGATATGGCTGAAATATTGCCGATGTGACGTTAAATATTTACTCACTCACTCAGGAGGTTGACCGATCTGGAGGGGGCAGCGATATGGTTCACTCTCTCACCGATGTGTTTCAATCAGCCCTTTATGTGTTTCAGTCAGTGTGTAAAATGTATTTCATATGGACAATTCATAAAATACCTAAATATTAAATTTTACAAATTGACTGAAAAATCTGTCCATGCATTTGACTGATTGGCAAAATATTATTGAGAAAATCAGAATGGTTTGAAAATATTGCAATAAGTAATAATGCTGGTTTGGAAGAAACAGACTTTACATTGATCCTATCATTTCCCGTCTCTTGGTGATGTTCCCCAGAGGGAATAAGCTGAAACTCTGGGTGATTCTTGTGTAGAAAGCTTTTGCTTGTCATGCCAAAGGCCCAGGTTTGATTTCCCATCTAGGCTCAATGTGTGTTCCTGGAATATTCTTAGAGCAACATCAAAAAACATACTCACTCACTAACTCACTCACTCACTCACATTTACAGGTTGCTGCTGTTGTCCATGCTGATGCTGATGCGTGGACGATGATGTGTGCCTGCTTCTTCATTGACTTCCATGACATGTCAACAGAGAAGGCTGCAGCCCATGCCAGCAGTGTACTGAAGGAGTCCCCTTTTTCTCCGGAGATGATGACTGTTGTGGAAGAATTCCAGTCTGCTAAGTCAGGGGTTGGTTTTATGAAGTACATTACACACATTTCTATCAAATTACCTAGCTCATCAGGTTTTCAAAGTAAATTCAGTGTGTGAGTGAGTTCAGTTTTACGCCACACTCAGCAATATTCCAGCTATATGGCGGCGGTCTGTAAATAATCGAGTCTGGACCAGGCAAACCAGTGATCAACAACATGAGCATCGATCTGCGCAATTGGGAGCCGATGACAAGTGTCAACCAAGCCAGCGAGCCTGACCACCCGATCCTGTTAGTGGCCTCTTAGACAAGCATGGGTTACTGAAGGTTCATTCTAACCCAGACCTTCACGGGTCCTAAGTCAATGCAAATGTGATGGTATGTGATTGTATAGACATCTCTGCTGTAGGAATGTTAGTACAACATCCTAATGACAACAGTATATAAATGTCAGACAAACAATTCAAGTTATCAGTAATGTGTGGCGCATTTCCTCCTGAGAAGTTTCTCTTTTAAACAGAATTTATTCAAAGACCAAACTTGTGTTGTCTTTGTTCCTAGTGAAGTACATCCCATCCAGCAATTGATGTTTCAATGGATGATCATTACAGATCCCCAGGACGTTTTCTTGGGTTGTGAAGGACCTACTGTGTGCATTAGCCTTCCCAGAAAGTCCATCAGACCTGAACTATCTGGTCAACAACAACGTTGCCTTCCTTGTCAGCCTCACCCAGGAGCGTGACCCAGATGTTGACAACTTCCTAGGTGAGCTGAGGAACTGTCAGGAAATCTCTGACAGAAAAACATTATCTTTCTGCTGACTTCAACTATTTTGTCCCATAGTCTTAAATGCTTGGCAAAAGATTATAAAACATCATGTATCTGAATAAAACAGAAAATAGGTTTTGGTCAGGTTGTTTTTACCACCCTTCTCTTATAGTTTGGGGTCTCTCCCTCCGAGAAGGTGTTTAATTTGAAAAGTAAATTTCTAGTGTGATTCCTGTGTCCATGTACATGTATTCTGTATGATGCCAATGTCCTTTTATCTGTCAGACTTGATGAAGGTGGACCTGAAGATGGATGCATCCTCCACGCCAGACATAGAACAGGTTGTTGAGTTCCTCACCTTGGTGGACCTAGCAGAAGCAGAGAATAAGGTATGTAGATGTCACAACAAGACATATGACTTCTTCTAGTTCGTCATGCTTGTTGTAGGCAGAGAAGGTTTAGAGAGCTGTGGTGTGATCACAGCACAAGACATGGCTACCTCTAGTTCGTCATGCTTGTTGTAGGCAGAGAAGGTTTAGAGAGCTGTGGTGTGGATCACAGCACAAGACATGGCTACCTCTAGTACTCAATGTTTTGTGTAGGCAGAGAAGGTATAGAGAGCATGTTGTTGTAGTGTGGATCACAGCACAACGACATGGCTACTTCTAGTTACCTCTAGTTCGTCATGCTTGTTGTAGGCAGAGAAGGTTTAGAGAGCTGTGGTGTGGATCACAGCACAAGACATGGCTACCTCTAGTTCGTCATGCTTGTTGTAGGCAGAGAAGGTTTAGAGAGCTGTGGTGTGGATCACAACACAAGACATGGCTACCTCTAGTACTTCATGCTTGTTGTAGGCAGAGAAGGTTTAAAGAGCTGTGGTGTGGATCACAGCACAAGACATGGCTACCTCTAGTTCGTCATGCTTGTTGTAGGCAGAGAAGGTATAGAGAGCTGTGGTGTGGATCACAGCACAAGACATGGCTACCTCTAGTTCGTCATGCTTGTTGTAGGCAGAGAAGGTTTAAAGAGCTGTGGTGTGGATCACAACACAAGACATGGCTACCTCTAGTACTCTGTGGTGTGGATCACAGCACAAGACATGTTTAGTACTCTATGTTTCGTGAAGGCTGAGGAAGGACAGATACAGAGTGTTTCCAAGAACATTAAACAAAATAGAAGTGAAACAAACAAACAAATAAACAAACAAACAAACAATTTCCCCAGGCAGTAGCTGTCCACTGCTCAGATGGCCTTGGGAGGGCAGGCACCATGCTGGCTTGTTACTTTGTCCAGGAAGAGGTCATGACAGCAGCAGAAGCTGTTAACAGGGTCCGTGAACTTCGACCTGGTTCCCTTTGGTCAAGGTCACAAGAAGTTCTGGTGGCAGAATATGAAACTTACAGAAGAAAGGTGAGAACGGTTTTATTCCAGCCTTGAATCTTCACTTTGAAATGATTATACAGTCCAGTTATGCTGGGCCAACACTGTTGCCACATTGAAATATAGGTAAAATATCACAATGTAGTCATGGGTGTATTCCTTCAATAACAAAATCAAAGGAAAAACGTCACAGTTTTTGTAAACTCATGTGACGGCCCTGTTGAAAAGACTTTACAAAACTTAGTCAAGATATGGCTGAAATATTGCTGATGTGATGGTAAATTTTAGCTCACACACTCACTCTTTTCTACTGAAATACATACATTAGGTATATCCTTGTAATACTTGTACATTAGTGTTGATTGTTGCAGTGTTGTGTTGACTGTGTTTGTTGATGTTGTGTTGAGTTTTGTAGCATTGTTGAGTGTGACTAATGGTTCTTTTAGCAAAGAGTCAACTCAAATAGTTGAAGTAGTGTGTGTTGTGTTGACTGATGGTTGGTGTCGTGTAGAGTTGACTGTGTTGGTTGAAGCAGTGTTGTGTTGACTGATGGTGGGTGTCGTGTAGAGTTGACTGTGTTGGTTGAAGCAGTGTTGTGTTGACTGATGGTTGGTGTCGTGTAGAGTTGACTGTGTTGGTTGAAGCAGTGTTGTGTTGACTGATGGTTGGTGTCGTAGTAAACTGTGATGACTGTGTGTGGTTTGACTGAAGCAGTGTTGTGTTGACCGTGATGGTTGGTTCTGTGTGTTGGTTTGAAGTTGACTGTGTTGGTTGGTTGAAGCAGTGTTGTGTTGACTGTGATGGTTGGTGTCGTGTTAGAGTTGACTGTGTTGGTTGAAGCGTGTTGTGTTGACTGATGGTTGGTGTCGTGTAGAGTTGACTGTGTTGGCTGGTGTCGTGTTGAGTTGACTGTGATGGTTGGTGTTGTGCTGCAGTGTGTTGGTGTTGACTGATGGTTGGTGTCGTGTTGAGGTTGACTGTGTTGGTGCTGGTTGGAAGCAGTGTTGTGTTGACTGTGATGGTTGGTGTGTGTTGTGTTGACTGTGATGGTTGGTGTTGTGTTGTGTTGACTGTGCTGGTTGAAGCAGTGTTGAAGCTGTGTGTTGTGTGTGACTGTGTTGGTTGAAGCAGTGTGTTGGTTGGAAGCAGTGTTGTTGTGTTGACTGTGTTGGGTTGAAGCAGTGATGGTTGGTGTTGACTGTGACTGTAATGGTTCTTTTAGCAGTGACTCAACACTCATGGTTGTTGCAGTGTTATGTTGACTGTGTTGCAGGTGCCCTGGCGGTTCTCGTGGGTAGTCAGGGGCAAGCTGTGTGCTCTGGCATTCCCAGAAGAAAGGGAGCACCTGCAGTATCTGGTGGACCATAACGTGGGCTACCTGGTGTGTCTGACCGAGGAGCGGGACCCTGACATACACGGACTTGCAGGTATACTGTCATGTCAAGGAAGATGTACTTCTGTAGATTTCACTGTGTAGGGTATACGCAAGGCTGAAATAATTAATCAATGCACCAGTGCAATAAATTAATGTGATTAATTAGTGATTAATCATGTGATTTGGGTTTGTATTCACACACTAGATACCATGTGATGTTAGTTTCTATTCACGCACTTGTTGTACCATGTGATATTTGTGTCTATTCACATACTAGCAGAACTGTGTGATATTGGTGTCTATTCACATGCTAGCTGTACCATGTGATATTGGTATCTATTCATATGCTAGCTGTACAATGTGATATTGGTGTCTATTCACACACTAGCTGTACCATGTGATATTGGGGTCTATTCACATGCTAGCTGTACCATGTGATATTGGGGTCTATTCACATGCAGTGCCATGTTACAGGGCTGGTGAAGGTGGACATCAAGATGAAGGATTTCTCCAGCCCAAACCAGCACCAGGTTGCCAAGTTCCTCTCCCTGATGGACCACGCAGCCCAGCAACACAAGGTAACTATGTCTCTGATTGACACACTAGTTCACGCTGATGTCCCTGGTATATCTGGAAACAGTGGGACACAAGCTGCAGGCCTAGTGCCTTATTGGTCTGCAAGGATTCTATGAACTGGGTTTTGAAACCCAGATCTGTGTCTCTTCGTGCCAAACCCATATCCTCAAGAAAGTGGGAAAAAGTTTAATTATTAGGAAAAAACAGGCTGGTGATTATTTAATTAGTGGTATTGTTGAAGCAGAACCCTTTCTGTGGATAGATACTTCTTTATTGCACTAGATGTGACGTTTCGGTGTAGATGCTAACACCGTTATCAAGCAAATGATCATTGTCTACCCATAGAAAGTGTTCTGCTTCATCATAGCAGTTTCTTGATGCCACTTAAAGAAGCTACTTGTACTGCTCTTTAGCCAGGCTATGATCTGAAGATCGTCAATTTGACTCCAATATTTGACCCAGTTTTGTCAGAACCACATCAACACTCACTCAACTTCAACTTGCTTTACTTTGCTCATTCCCTCTCCCCTGTATATCCAGGCTGTGGCACTTCACTGTAGAGGTGGGCGGGGCAGGACCGGGACGCTAATCGCATGTTACCTGGTGAAGGAGGAGGGAGTGTCAGCAGCAGAAGCCCTGCGGAGAACCCGTCAACTCAGACCCGGGTCTGTTGAGACCAAGGAACAGGAACAGGCAATCTATGACTTTGAGAAGACCATCAGACAGGTAACTTACCTCACCACAAATTATACGCTGGGAAGTTTGAAATTTTATGTCATCATAATAAATTTCATTGGAAGTAATTCTGCTGAGTGGCGTATTAAGCATGCTCTGAACTGTGCTGTGTGGCAATGTTAGACATGCTCTGAACTGTGCTGTGTGGCAATGTTAGACATGCTCTGAACTGTGCTGTGTGGCAATGTTAGACATGTCTAGAGACATGCTCTGAACTGCTCAATGAACAGTGAACTGTGCAGTGTGGCAATGTTAGACATGCTCTGAACAGTGCTGTGTGGCAATGTTAGACATGCTCTGAACTGTGCTGTGTGGCAATGTTAGACATGCTCTGAACTGTGCTGTATGGCAATGTTAGACATGCTCTGAACTGTGCTGTATGGCAATGTTAGACATGCTCTGAACTGTGCTGTATGGCAATGTTAGACATGCTCTGAACTGTGCTGTATGGCAATGTTAGACATGCTCTGAACTGTGCTGTATGGCAATGTTAGACATGCTCTGAACTGTGCTGTATGGCAATGTTAGACATGCTCTGAACTGTGCAGTGTGGCAATGTTAGACATGCTCTGAACTCTGAACTGTGCAGTGTGGCAATGTTAGACATGCTCTGAACTGTGCTGTATGGCAATGTTAGACATGCTCTGAACTGTGCAGTGTGGCAATGTTAGACATGCTCTGAACTGTGCTGTGTGGCAATGTTAGACATGCTCTGAACTGTGCAGTGTGGCAATGTTAGACATGCTGAACTCTGAACTGTCTGAACTGTGCTGTGTGGCAATGTTAGACATGCTCTGAACTGTGCAGTGTGGCATGCTCTGAACTGTGCTGTATGGCAATGTGCATGCTCAGAACTGTGCTGTGTGGCAATGTTAGACATGCTCTGAACTGTGCTGTGTGGCAATGTTAGACATGCTCTGAACTGTGCAGTGTGGCAATGTTAGACATGCTCTGAACTGTGCTGTATGGCAATGTTAGACATGCTCTGAACTGTGCAGTGTGGCAATGTTAGACATGCTCTGAACTGTGCTGTATGGCAATGTTAGACATGCTCTGAACTGTGCAGTGTGGCAATGTTAGACATGGTCAATGCAAAAACATCTTGCACTAAAACACAACCTAAACAATAAACGTGTTCATTACATTGTGTATTTGTGTTCATTGCTTATCAAGCTTTTAAGATTACATGTACATTGAATTTTGTCTTTAGTTTCATGAAACACAGCTTTTACATTTGCGTTTAACATGAATAAATTGACAATTAAAGAGATTGCAATTAAATGATTGTATGTGTTGGGAATATCAATTACAACTAAGGAATTAACATTCTGATTTGCAAATACAATGTTCGACTGGTTATCATTACAATAAGAAGAAAGATGATCAGAAATAGAAGCAGAACTCGCGTAACATATACATTTTATAGTTTGACAAATAATAATCAGCATACAGTTATTCCAATGAAGATAGATATAATTTTAGAATATCGATTTAACAATAGTGTTGTTTTTCATTTAATAGGGAAACTGTAATGCAACTGAGTTGCGCAACAGAGCAAAATGACCAGTCTTCCCAGATGCCAGCCAAGCATTTTGCTATATTGCTTAACCCATTGCATTACCGTTTGCCTTTCTGTATATCTCGTACAGAATTCTCCAGTCAGTAAATACATCAATCAAATTGTATTCTATGCAAGTTTACATAAAGTCTGCATGTAAAACATTATAGGTTCAGTTAGAATATCACACATGGATGTAGTTGTCTACTGGCTGAATGAATAACTGGTCTTTTTCATTATTAACGTAACACACAGTTTTTGCATTGTAGAGTAAATGGAGGTTATTATCAACGATGGTAATTTATCTGCGCATGAGCAGTCTGTAGTCCAATCACAGTAACAGCGGGAATGAAAAGTTCTCTGTTTTAACAAATGTTCGGTGTTTTAAGTAACAATGTAAGTAATGGTGTTACTCTATATATTAGTTATAAACAGACGTAAATCAAATAGTCTAAGATCAGTTTCAATGTATCATTGTCATCCTTTGAGGTTTTCTGTTATAATATCTGTCAAATCGTGATTGAATATTCAGAAAGTTGACTGAAGCTATGTATTCCTTACATTTCCGGGTACTCGATTCCGATTCGGGTAAGTACATGCGGGTACTCGATTCCAATTTTTCCTACCCGTCCCAGCCCTACTGTGCAGTGTGACAATGTTAGACATGATCTGAACTGTGCAGTGTGACAATGTTAGACATGCTCTGAGCTGTGCAGTGTGGCAATGTTAGACATGCTCTGAGCTGTGCAGTGTGGCAATGTTAGACATGCTCTGAACTGTGCAGTGTGACAATGTTAGATGATCTGAGCTGTGCAGTGTGGCAATGTTAGACATGCTCTGAACTGTGCAGTGTGGCAATGTTAGACATGATCTGAACTGTGCAGTGTGGCAATGTTAGACATGCTCTGAACTGTGCAGTGTGGCAATGTTAGACATGATCTGAACTGTGCAGTGTGGCAATGTTAGACATGATCTGAACAGTGCAGTGTGGCAATGTTAGACATGCTCTGAACTGTGCTGTGTGGCAATGTTAGACATGCTCTGAACTGTGCAGTGTGGCAATGTTAGACATGCTCTGAACAGTGCTGTGTGGCAATGTTAGACATGCTCTGAACTGTGCTGTGTGGCAATGTTAGACATGCTCTGAACTGTGCTGTGTGGCAATGTTAGACATGCTCTGAACAGTGCTGTGTGGCAATGTTAGACATGATCTGAACTGTGCAGTGTGGCAATGTTAGACATGATCTGAACTGTGCAGTGTGGCAATGTTAGACATGATCTGAGCTGTGCAGTGTGGCAATGTTAGACACGCTCTGATCTGTGCAGTGTGGCAATGTTAGACATGCTCTGAACTGTGCAGTGTGGCAATGATAAGCATGCTCTGAACTGTGCTGTATGGCAATGTTAGACATGCTCTGAACTGTGCTGTATGGCAATGTTAGACATGCTCTGAACTGTGCTGTGTGGCAATGTTAGACATGCTCTGAACTGTGCAGTGTGGCAATGATAAGCATGCTCTGAACTGTGCTGTATGGCAATGTTAGACATGCTCTGAACAGTGCTGTGTGGCAATGTTAGACATGCTCTGAACTGTGCTGTGTGGCAATGTTAGACATGCTCTGAACTGTGCAGTGTGGCAATGTTAGACATGCTCTGAACTGTGCTGTATGGCAATGTTAGACATGCTCTGAACTGTGCAGTGTGGCAATGTTAGACATGCTCTGAACTGTGCTGTGTGGCAATGTTAGACATGCTCTGAACTGTGCAGTGTGGCAATGTTAGACATGCTCTGAACTGTGCAGTGTGGCAATGTTAGACATGATCTGAACTGTGCAGTGTGGCAATGTTAGACATGATCTGAACTGTGCTGTGTGGCAATGTTAGACATGCTCTGAACTGTGCTGTGGCAATGTTAGACATGCTCTGAACTGTGCAGTGTGGCAATGTTAGACATGCTCTGAACAGTGCAGTGTGGCAATGTTAGACATGCTCTGAACTGTGCAGTGTGGCAATGTTAGACATGCTCTGAACTGTGCTGTGTGGCAATGTTAGACATGCTCTGAACTGTGCAGTGTGGCAATGATAAGCATGCTCTGAACTGTGCTGTATGGCAATGTTAGACATGCTCTGAACTGTGCAGTGTGGCAATGTTAGACATACTCTGAACTGTGCAGTGTGGCAATGTTAGACATGCCTGAACTGTGCTGTGTACATGGCAATGTTAGACATGATCTGAACTGTGCAGTGTGGCAATGTTAGACATGCTCTGAACTGTGCTGTATGGCAATGTTAGACATGATCTGAACTGTGCAGTGTGGCAATGTTAGACATGCTCTGAACAGTGCAGTGTGACAAACTGTTAGACATGATGAACTGTGCTGTAGCTGTGCAGTGCTGCAGTGTGGCAATGTTAGACATGCTCTGAACTGTGCAGTGTGGCAATGTTAGACATGCTCTGAACTGTGCTGTGTCTCCGTGCGTTGCAGATGCCAGACAACTTCTCTTGGGTTGTGGAAGGTTTACTGTGTACCCTGGCGTTTCCTGAAACCCGACAGAACCTCCGCTACCTCCTGGACAACAATGTGTCATACCTGGTGTCCCTGACTGCTGAACGTGATCCCCCTGTCACACTCTGTCCAGGTGAGCAACCTGGTGTATACCCAGTGTCACACATACTGGCCTTTAGCAGGTGTATATACAGCGTCACACATATTGGGTTTTAGCAGGTGTACACACAGTGTCACACATATTGGGCTGTAGCAGGTGTACACACAGTGTCACAGCAGGTGTACACAGTGTCACACATATTGGGTTTTAGCAGGTGTACACACAGTGTCACACATATTGGGCTTTAGCAGGTGTACACACAGTGTCACACATACTGGACTTTAGCAGGTGTACACACACACATACTGGGCTCTAGCAGGTGTATACACAGTGTCACAGATACTGGGCTTAACAGGTGTACACACAGTGTCACACATACTGGGCTTTAGCAGGTGTACACACAGTGTCACACATACTGGGCTTTAGCAGGTGTACACACAGTGTCACACATACTGGGCTTTAGCAGGTGTACACACAGTGTGTATACTGGGCTTTAGCAGGTGTATACAGTGTCACACATACTGGGCTTTAGCAGGTGTACACACAGTGTCACACATATTGGGCTTTAGCAGGTGTACACACAGTGTCACACATACTGGGCTTTAGCAGGTGTACACACACAGTGTCACAGATACTGGGCTTTAGCAGGTGTACACACAGTTTAGTGTATACACAGTGTCACAGATACTGGGCTTTAGCAGGTGTACACACACACATACTGGGCTTTAGCAGGTGTACACACATACTGGGCTTTAGCAGGTGTGTAACACAGTGTCACTGGACTTTAGCAGGTGTACACACACACATACTGGGCTTCAGCAGGTGTATACACAGTGTCACACATACTGGACTTTAGCAGGTGTACTCACACACATACTGGGCTTAACAGGTGTACACACAGTGTCACACATACTGGGCTTTAGCAGGTGTACACACAGTGTCACACATATTGGGCTGTAGCAGGTGTACACACAGTGTCACACATATTGGGCTGTAGCAGGTGTACACACAGTGTCACACATACTGGGCTTTAGCAGGTGTACACACAGTGTCACACATATTGGGCTTTAGCTGGTTGCCAGTTCTCTGCCTTGTCACAGGACCCAACTAAACTAGATCAGTGAATGATTGCTCATACTGTCAGTCACTGGTTTTGTTATTTATAGGTGTTGTGATGTAGACAGAATGTTGCCATTGGTGACAGCACCAGTTGCTACTATGACATAACCAAATAGCATCTGCCAGTTGGCTAGCTGTCCTTTCACTCACTTCATTTTTTGGTGTCAGACATGCCAACTCTCACCAACCCAAGATTAATACTATTCATCCAGCTTATATTGACTTATGGCGACATATTCGATATCAAATGATATGCTGCAAGTGTCTCTACTTATACGAAAAGAAACATTGTTTGTTGTAAGTCGAACTGTGCTTGTTTTGGGGTAAAGTGACACATTTAAGTAGTATGTAGACATGTAGGATGAGGGGACCAGAAATCCTCCTGTAGGATACACTGACCGGTGTTGAAGTACCTGTGGTCAACTGCATCTCTTATCGTCACAGAGTTGGAGTTCGTGTCTCTAAAGATACAGGACTTCACCCCACCCACTGTGGAGCAGGTTGAGGAGTTTCTGAACATCATCCACAAGGCTGAGGTGAAGAAGAAGGTGAGACTCTCCTACAGGTATCCTCTGTTCTTCTCCAACATACGGCAGTTCTGCAGCTTAAATCATCATCCTACTGACGATTAAATCAACAGACACCATCCTACTGATGATTAAATCAACAGACTCCTTTTAAATCAACAGATTTAATTAAATCAACAGACTTTTGATTTAATCATCAGTAGGATGATGTCTGTTGATTTAATTATCAGTAGAATGATGTCTGTTAATTTAATTATCCCCTGCCACGCGTTTAGCGCGAAGCGGGGGATATAGTATTAGGCTCCGTCCGTCTGTCCGTCCGTACGTCCATACGTACGTGCGAATTGGAATATCTTAAGAACCGTTCACTAGATTCTTTTCATAATTGGTACCTAGGTTCATCACAGTATAACAAAGGTACAAGTCAGGTTTGGTGACCTTGACCTTCATTTCAAGGTCACAAGGGGACTTTAACGTTTTACCTGCATGTTAAGCTATCTCAAGAACCGTTAACTGGATTTTCTTCATATATTTAATACAAAGCTTTATCTAGGGAAGGCGCAGGGCCCAGTCGATTTTTGATTAAGTTACCTTAATTTTCACGGTCACAGAGACACTTTGAAGATTTCAGCATGTTAACCTGAATTGTCAGCAAGATATTTCAAAAAAGGTTCACTGGATTTTCTTCAAAGACTTTCAAGACTTCCCTTAAATGTTTTTCAAAAAGCAATTTCTTTAGTACTATGTTTGCTTATTTCATACACTATGACATTCATGTCAAGGTCAAAGTCAGTCTTGAAAGTATGTGTGTGTTTGAACACTAAAGAGCATTGTATCAAGAGAGATTGACTGGTCATGTTTTTGTTGACATTTAACTTAAACTTTCATTACTTTATAAGTTTGATTTGATAATTTGTGGCGGGGGATTATGTCACCTTAGTGACAATGCTTGTTATCAGTAGAATGATGTCTGTTGATTTAATTATCAGTAGAATGATGTCTGTTGATTTAACCATCAGAAGGATGATGTCTGTTTAAAGCTGCTTCCCAAAATAACCTTTAAATGGGAACTACAGCATGGGCAATTGGCAGCCCACGCTAGGTTGATTTAAGTCATTCAAGCACTGCTTTGCTTGTCAATATCTTAAACTTTATGGTCAATGTAATTGAAAGAGTTCAACAATTAAAAAAGAATAATCAAGCTTTTGTTCTGCTGGAAAATCATTTTTAGAGATTATGTCATGCATGATTTGTGTGACAGTACTTTCAGATGTGTTGTATTTGTGACACATTATCTGTTCCAGGCAGTTGCTCTCCACTGTGCTCAAGGTCAAGGTCGAACTGGGACAATGATTGCATGTTACCTGGTCAAAGTTCAAAGGTTAAGTGCTGAGGATGCAATTCAGAGAACCCGGTATTTGAGAAAAGGTTCAATAGAGACACGTGAACAGGAGCAGATGGTTCATGACTATAGACAGTATCTGTGTGACACTGGCATGTTCGACGTAGCTTGTTAGCGCTAGTCCAGCCATCTGTTACTCATCATTTCACCATGTATTCTGTATTTGCCATCATTTACACTTGTGTAAATGTCAATGCAAGGATAAACTGAATAATCTAAATTCTTTATTACATGTGCCTTGAGTGATGTACATGTGCCTTGAATGATGTACATGTGCCTTGAATGATGTACATGTGCCTTGAGTGATGTACATGTACCTTGAGTGATGTACATGTACCTTGAGTGATGTACATGTGTCTTGAGTGATGTACATGTGCTTTGAGTGATATACATGTGCCTTGAATGATGTACATGTGCCTTGAATGATGTACATGTGCCTTGAGTGATGTACATGTACCTTGAGTGATGTACATGTACCTTGAGTGATGTACATGTACCTTGAGTGATGTACATGTGCCTTGAGTGATGTACATGTGTCTTGAGTGATGTACATGTATCTTGAGTGATGTACATGTGCCTTGAATGATGTACATGTGCCTTGAATGATGTACATGTGCCTTGAGTGATGTACATGTACCTTGAGTGATGTACATGTACCTTGAGTGATGTACATGTGCCTTGAGTGATGTACATGTGTCTTGAGTGATGTACATGTGTCTTTGAGTGATGTACATGTGCCTTGAGTGATATACATGTACCTTGAGTGATGTACATGTGTCTTCAGTGATGTACATGTGCCTTGAGTGATGTACATGTACCTTGAGTGATGTACATGCACCTTGAGTGATATACATGTGTCTTGAGTGATGTACATGTGTCTTGAGTGATGTACATGTGTCTTGAGTGATGTACATGTGCCTTGAGTGATATACATGTGCCTTGAGTGATGTACATGTGTCTTGAGTGATGTACATGTACCTTGAGTGATGTACATGTGTCTTGACCTTGAGTGATGTACATGTGTCTTGAGTGATGTACATGTGCCTTGAGTGATGTACATGTACCTTGAGTGATATACATGTGCCTTGAGTGATGTACATGTGTCTTGAGTGATGTACATGTACCTTGAGTGATGTACATGTGTCTTGAGTGATGTACATGTGTCTTGAGTGATGTACATTTGTCTTGAGTGATGTACATGTGCCTTGAGTGATATACATGTGCCTTGAGTGGTTGTACATGTGTGTGATGTACATGTGAGTGATGTACATGTGCCTTGAGTGATGTACATGTGTCTTGAGTGATGTACATGTGTGCCTTGAGTGATATACATGTGTCTTGAGGTGATATACATGTGATGTACATGTGTCTTCAGTGATGTACATGTGTCTTGAGTGATGTACATGTGTCTTGAGTGATGTACATGTGTCTTGAGTGATGTACATGTGTCTTCAGTGATGTACATGTGCCTTGAGTGATGTACATGTGCCTTGAGTGATGTACATGTGTCTTGAGTGATGTACATGTGCCTTCAGTGATGTACAGGTGTCTTGAGTGATATACATGTACCTTGAGTGATGTACATGTGTCTTCAGTGATGTACATGTGCCTTGAGTGATGTACATGCACCTTGAGTGATGTACATGTACCTTGACCTTGAGTGATGTACATGTGTCTTGAGTGATGTACATGTACCTTGAGTGATGTACATGTACCTTGAGTGATATACATGTGCCTTGAGTGATGTACATTTGTCTTGAGTGATGTACATGTGCCTTGAGTGATATACATGTGCCTTGAGTGGTATACATGTGCCTTGAGTGATGTACATGTGCCTTGAGTGATGTACATGTGTCTTGAGTGATGTACATGTGCCTTGAGTGATATACATGTACCTTGAGTGATATACATGTGCCTTGAGTGATATACATGTGTCTACAGTGATGTACATGTGTCTTGAGTGATGTACATGTACCTTGAGTGATGTACATGTGTCTTGAGTGATGTACATGTGTCTTCAGTGATGTACATGTGCCTTGAGTGATATACATGTGCCTTGAGTGATGTACATGTGTCTTCAGTGATGTACATGTGCCTTCAGTGATGTACATGTGTCTTGAGTGATGTACATGTACCTTGAGTTATGTACATGTACCTTGAGTTATGTACATGTGTCTAAAGTGATGTACATGTGTCTTGAGTGATGTACATGTGCCTTGAGTGATGTACATGTGCCTTGAGTGATGTACATGTGCCTTGAGTGATGTACATGTGTCTTGAGTGATGTACATGTGTCTTGAGTGATGTACATGTGTCTTGAGTGATGTACATGTACCTTGAGTGATGTACATGTGCCTTGAGTGATGTACATGTGTCTTGAGTGATGTACATGTGTCTTGAGTGATGTACATGTGTCTTGAGTGATGTACATGTGTCTTGAGTGATGTACACATGCCTTGAGTGATGTACATGTGTCTTGAGTGATGTACATGTGTCTTGAGTGATGTACATGTGTCTTGAGTGATGTACATGTGCCTTGAGTGAAGTACATGTGTCTTCATTGATGTACATGTGTCTACAGTGATGTACATGTGTCTTCAGTGATGTACATGTGTCTTCAGTGATGTACATGTGTCTTCAGTGATGTACATGTGTCTTGAGTGATGTACATGTGTCTTCCGTGATGTACATGTACCTTGAGTGATGTACATGTACCTTGAGTGATATACATGTGTCTACAGTGATGTACATGTGTCTTGAGTGATGTAGACAGCTTTGTGTGCACATATCAACAAGCTCAATAAGAATATGTCAAAAGATGTTACTGGTGTAGTGTGCCTTGAAGTCATGTGTTATCTTGTAGCTGGTAGCTGGGATAGTATTCACACTCACCCATCATGGTATGACACTGACTGCTGAATGTGAACATTCTGTTACTCACATGTTTGTGTTAATGTGTGTTTTCTGCATCCTTTTCTCTAAATTGTTGAATACCATTACCCTTGAAGAGATTTTGAATACAAGTTGTGTTTTTTACCTTTTGCTGCATTAGAATGTTTGCACATGACTGAATCTCAACAAGTGTCACCTGGCAGGTAAAGTGTGACTGTAACTGTAATCAATGAGAGTCACCTGGCAGGTAAAGTGTGACTGTAACTGTACTCAATAGGTCTCACCTGGCAATTAAAGTGTAACTGTACTCAATGAGTGTCACCTGGCAGGTAAAGTGTGACTGTAACTGTAATCAATGAGTGTCACCTGGCAGGTAAAGTGTGACTGTAACTGTACTCAATGAGTGTCACCTGGCAGGTAAAGTGTGACTGTAACTCTACTCAATAGGTCTCACCTGGCAATTAAAGTGTAACTGTACTCAATGAGTGTCACCTGGCAGGTAAAGTGTGACTGTAACTCTACTCAATAGGTCTCACCTGGCAGGTAAAGTGTGACTCTGGCAGGTAAAGTGTGGCTGTAACTGTACTCAATAGGTGTGGCTGTAACTACTCAATGACCTGGCAGGTAAAGTCACCTGGCAGGTAAAGTGTGACTGTAACTGTACTCAATAGGTCTCACCTGGCAGGTTAAAGTGTGATTGTAACTGTACTCAGGTGTCACCTGCCAGGTAAAGAGTGTCAATGGTAAAGTGTGACTGTAACTGTACTCAATAGGTGTCACTCAATAGGTGTCACCTGCTGTGACTGTAACTATACTCAATAGGTGTCACCTGGCAGGTAAAGTGTGACTGTAACTCTACTCAATAGGAGTGTCACTATACTCAATGGGTGTCACCTGGCAGGTAAAGTGTGACTGTAACTGTACTCAATGAGGTGTCACCTGGCAGGTAAAGTGTGACTGTAACTGTAATCAATGAGGTGTCACCTGGCAGGTAAAGTGTGACTGTAACTCTACTCAATAGGTCTCACCTGGCAATTAAAGTGTAACTGTACTCAATGAGTGTCACCTGGCAGGTAAAGTGTGATTGTAACTCTACTCAATAGGTCTCACCTGCCAGGTAAAGTGTGACTGTAACTATACTCAATAGGTCTCACCTGGCCAATAAAGTGTAACTGTACTCAATGAGTGTCACCTGGCAGGTAAAGTGTGACTGTAACTGTACTCAATAGGTCTCACCTGGCAGGTAAAGTGTGATTGTAACTCTACTCAATAGGTGTCACCTGGCAGGTAAAGTGTGGCTGTAACTATACTCAATAGGTGTCACCTGGCAGGTAAAGTGTGGCTGTAACTATACTCAATGAGTGTCACCTGGCAGGTAAAGTGTGACTGTAACTATACTCAATAGGTGTCACCTGGCAGGTAAAGTGTGACTGTAACTGTACTCAATAGGTCTCACCTGGCAGGTAAAGTGTGATTGTAACTCAACTCAATAGGTGTCACCTGGCAGGTAAAGTGTGGCTGTAACTATACTCAATAGGTCTCACCTGGCAGGTAAAGTGTGACTAACTATACTCAATAGGTGTCACCTGGCAGGTAAAGTGTGATTGTAACTCAACTCAATAGGTCTCACCTGGACGGTAAAGTGTGACTGTAACTATACTCAATAGGTGTCACCTGGCAGGTAAAGTGTGACTGTAACTATACTCAATAGGTGTCACCTGGCAGGTAAAGTGTGGCTGTAACTATAGTCAATAGGTCTCACCTGGCAGGTAAAGTGTGGCTGTAACTATAGTCAATAGGTCTCACCTGGCAGGTAAAGTGTGATTGTAACTGTACTCAATAGGTGTCACCTGCCAGGTAAAGTGTGACTGTAACTATACTCAATAGGTCTCACCTGGCAGGTAAAGTGTGATTGTAACTGTACTCAATAGGTGTCACCTGGCAGGTAAAGTGTGATTGTAACTCTACTCAATAGGTGTCACCTGCCAGGTAAAGTGTGACTGTAACTCTACTCAATAGGTGTCACCTGGCAGGTAAAGCGTGTCTGTAACTCTACTCAATAAGTCTCACCTGGCAGGTAAAGTGTGGCTGTAACTATAGTCAATAGGTCTCACCTGGCAGGTAAAGTGTGATTGTAACTGTACTCAATAGGTGTCAATAGGTGTCACCTGCCAGGTAAAGTGTGAACTATAGTAACTATAGTCAATAGGTCTCACCTGGCAGGTAAAGTGTGATTGTAACTGTACTCAATGAGTGTCACCTGGCAGGTAAAGTGTGACTGTAACTATACTCAATAGGTCTCACCTGGCAGGTAAAGTGTGACTGTAACTGTACTCAATGAGTGTCACCTGGCAGGTAAAGTGTGACTGTAACTATAATCAATGAGGCATCACCTGGCAGGTAAAGTGTGACTGTAACTGTAGTCAACGAGTGTCAGTGATTTCAACATGATCGTGTTACAGTTTTTACAAAGTTTTTTATGATGCTAATCAGCTTTTATTTACTGACATGTATTTAGTCAAATGCTCATGAAACAATTTACATTCACTCTGATTCTTTCACATATCACCGTTTATCTATTGATAAGGGAAGCTGAGCAAAAGAATCTCACAAATTAAGAATGTCATACTCTCATCGTTCCTTACAACTCTGAAGATGTTGTTTGCATCAGAGAAGACATGTTAAGACCCTTATTCCACTCCTGTTTCTATGTGTATATTGTATTTTACACTTATTAGTTTGAAGTTACAGATCTCCTTACTTTACAATGGGTTATATGGTTCTTGCTTCAATATATGGATTGGATTCAATAATTAAATACTCCAGTCTTTCTAGCTAGAGACAGCATTTCTTTATGAGTGAGTAAGCTTAGTTTTACGCCACACTCAGCAATATTCCAGCTATATGGCGGCGGTCTGTAAATAATCAAGTCTGGACCAGACAATCCAGTGATCAACAGCATGAGCATCGATCTGCGTAATTGGGAACCGATGACATGTGTCAACCAAGTCAGCGAGCCAGACCACCCGATCCCATTAGTCGCCTCTTATGACAAGCATAGTAGCCATTTGTGGCAAGCATGGGTTGCTGAAGACCTATTCTACCCCGGATCTTCACGGGTCCATTTCTTTATGGTGTGGATTGAACTTGTCATACATATTCATGCTAAATCTGTGGAGCTTTTGTTGTTGGCAGACAATGCACTTTTTTATTCTGTCAATTTTGGCATTAAAGTTCCCCTGCTATTGTGGCAGGCATATTGGGCTTTGTCAAATTATTTGAAATGTCCTCAAATCAAGTTTTTGTGTGTTGATAATGACAATTCGACCAAAACTGTTTTTAACTGATTCATCGATTCCCCATCCCTAAACATTAAGAGTAGAGAAATGAACAGAAAAGCACAGTTGTTACATTTTGCTGATTATTTACAGGTTAAACAATGTGAAAAGCTTAAAATCTATTTTTTATAGATTTTTTTGTCACCTACCAACAGGGGTTTTACAGAAATATCAGTAAAGCAAGAAATATTAAAAGCATGACTGATTTAATGACACTGAAAAGCCATGGAGAAAAGTTGCTACTCCAGCTATGGTGTTATGACATGTCATTGTATATATGTGTTTACCACTCCAACCTAACCACCAGCTGTTTAAACTGTGTCAGCACGTTACAGTACCTCACCACAGCTGGATCCCAAGTATGATGGTTGTGAATCACAGCTCAAACTTTATTTGGTGTTTTATTACTGATTATTGTGTTATTTTGTTAGTTTTACAAAGTTGTAGCTTTGGGTCAGTTATCAACTCTTCGTCCACACACTGACCAGCAGTTCCACAAATAGAGTGTTGTATTTACCATCTATGGAAAATAAATTCATTCTTTAAACTCGTGTTTTTATTGGTACTTTGATCATTATATCTGATAACAGGTAGGAGTTATTGAATTATCTATTACTGCTGCAAAATAATAAATGAGTTGGAAAATTCACTGGTCAGTGGTAAACCAGGTGATCACATCCTCACCAGGCTAACCAATGACTGAAGGCATGAGCATACCGCTTGGGGAACACAATGGAGCCTACCGCTTGGGGAACACAATGGAGCCTACCGCTTGGGGAACACAATGGAGCATACCGCTTGGGGAACACAATGGAGCATACCGCTTGGGGAACACAATGGAGCATACCGCTTGGGGAACACAATGGAGCATACTGCTTGGGGAACACAATGGAGCACTGCTTGGGGAACACAATGGAGTATACACCACAATAGTGCCTCTTCATGAGGTCCGGGTTACAACTGGTCTTCAGCAAACCATGCTTGTCATAAGAGGCAGCTGGCTGCTGACTTGGTTGACAATGGCATCGTATCCGAATTGCATAGGTCGATGCTCATGATGTTGATCACTGGACTGTCTGGTCCAGTCTCGATTATTTACAGACTGCCGCTATATAGCTGAAATGTTGTTGAGTGTGGTGTTAAATAACAAACCAACCAACTGACCAATCTTCCTAAGACCAGTAACTAAAAGGCTGAAAGAGTCGTTCGTAAAATCTCCAGCTTTTACTGTTCCTTGTAGTGAAAAGCCTTTTCAAATCAACATGCTTACATTCCTGTAATGTGAAATACCCAGTAGTAGTAGTAGTAGTAGTAGTAGTAGTAGTAGAAGAAGAAGTAGCCGTAGTAGCTGCTGTGCTGGGGTTGTGCAGACATGTAAGATGACCAACTGACAGAGCCCCGGATTGCCTCCTGTGAGACATTGGAAGCGGGTATTGTAACAAGGTGATCAGTGCTCCGGGCGATAACAGTTTCTTATGTCTCTTTGATTAACACGCCGGTCTCGGAGTCTGTCACGTGCCACACGCACATGTTGTCAGACGCCACACTTAGCAGCTGACCGCCGTGCAGCGGTTGTCGAGGCGTCAGGTGACATGAATAATATACACTCTATTTCCATAGCATGTACACGCACGAAATATACACATCCTCAGCGGTAGTGTCCCATGATGAGGAAACTAACTTTCAATGGAAAAATAACATTCCTACTCATGGGATAAGCTACTGATCGTATTTACATATTCATTGCTAAATCATTCAGTTCTTGTTGATTTCTGCCGTCCAGTTTCCTTAATCACCTTGTACACGAAATACACTTACTTCAACCATATCGGATTTTGTTATATGTATTCTAGCACCAGAACTTGCCTGGTTACGAAAACACGCGGTTAAATAGTAATTGTGACAACAAAGAGTATCTGTTGGTTTAATATACTGTTTTCAGTTATCCCGGGGTTGTAAGTGAGCGGCCACTGTGGTCAATCCTCTGATGACTTGGATGTGGGAGGCCGAGTGATTCCATGGCCCTGTGTCGCCTTGATGGGAAGTTAATAATGCAGCCTTCTTTGAGATGGGAAAGTGGATTATATCTACCTGGCTGGGTGTATGTTACAATGCCGCGGGCGCCAGCGTTGATTACTGCTTGGTGATTCACTAATAGACTTGTTCAACATGACAAAGGTGTATCAGTGATGGTCATAAAGTACGGTTAGTACTGGTAACACCATGACAGCTATGATCTACTGCGTTTGCCAGTCACGATCTGTCATCGTTGATACTCACAGTTTAGCATATGTGGACGTCAGATGGTTAGAATGCCAGGTACATAGATGTCTGGTGCAGAGATTCATATCACGAGCAACGGTCCGAGCAGGACACATAGGTGGGTGGGGACAGTGGCTCCAGCGGTGTGAGGGAACAGTTGCCTTGGTGATCGGTCTTACCAACACACACATATATGTAGAGGGTAATGTCCGAGTAACTCTCTATCCCTTAAAACTAATGGAGCCGAGGCTCCCTCGAGCACAAAGGAGGGTTGGAGGGCCGGATACGCATGTGCTGGTAAAACCGTCGGACTAGTACGTAAGATTCACAGTTAGATTAAAAGGCTGCATGCATACATATGTTGGTGAGAACATCAGGCACATAGGTTGGTATGTGAGATTCATAGTTGGGTTAAAAGGCTGCATGCATACATATGTTGGTGGGAACGTCAGGCACATAGGTAGGTTGGTATGTGAGATTCATAGTTGGGTTAAAAGGCTGCATGCATACATATGTTGGTGGGAACATCAGGCACATAGGTAGGTCTGTATGTGAGATTCATAGTTGGGTTAAAAGGCTGCATGCATACACATGTTGGTGGGAACGTCAGGCACATAGGTTGGTATGTGAGATTCATAGTTAGGTTAAAAGGCTGCATGCATACATATGTTGGTGGGAACGTCAGGCACATAGGTAGGTTTGTATGTGAGATTCATAGTTAGGTTAAAAGGCTGCATGCATACATATGTTGGTGAGAACGTCAGGCACATAGGTAGGTTTGTATGTGAGATTCATAGTTAGGTTAAAAGGCTGCATGCATACATATGTTGGTGAGAACGTCAGGCACATAGGTAGGTTTGTATGTGAGATTCATAGTTAGGTTAAAAAGGCTGCATGCATACATATGTTGGTGAGAACGTCAGGCACATAGGTAGGTTTGTATGTGAGATTCATAGTTAGGTTAAAAGGCTGCATGCATACATATGTTGGTGGGAACGTCAGGCACATAGGTTGGTATGTGAGATTCATAGTTAGGTTAAAAGGCTGCATGCATACATATGTTGGTGGGAACGTCAGGCACATAGGTTTGTATGTGAGATTCATAGTTGGGTTAAAAGGCTGCATGCATACATATGTTGGTGAGAACATCAGGCACATAGGTAGGTTGGTATGTGAGATTCATAGTTGGGTTA